CTAATATATTCTGGCCTCCGTGCCTTACAAGTTACAAGACATTTGTGGCCTACCACATTAATGATATGATGTCAAAATTTTTTCATATTCAAGCCATATTACTACCCAATCCAATTTGAAACACCCAATATAACACAAAAAAATAAGTTAAAATAAAAACTATGCCTTAAACAACTAGTCAATATGCAACTGTGACAACATTGGGAAAATTACGGTGTGCCCGTTGTCACTTTCCCTCAATTAAAAATTCCTACATTTTACTTCTTAATCTTCTGATATATTATTAATATCAACCTTCTATTAACATTCTGTTATGAAAATATGACGAAAAAATTGGAATGTAAATTTTAAATATCCCTTTTACGACCAAAATGTTCATGTAAGAATTGGTTTATATACATACATATAAGAAATTATTTATGACCAACATGTAAAAACTTTTAGTTGAGCAGAGAAAACAACGACTGTTCACAATTGAGGTGGTAAGATGTAATTTGCACTTTTTCATTTCAATACCTTAATTAAAGGGTTAAGTACACTTGTACCCTTCAATTATCACTAAAATCACCTTTACCCTCCTCCATTTTAAAACAGTACATTTAGAACCTTCACCGATCAAAAATTATTTTATTTTTCCCTCAAGGGGTCTTTGTACAGTTTTTGATAATAGAGAGTCTAAATGTAAATTTTAAATTAAAATAATATTTAATAATAGTTGAAGAGGTTAAACTGCAATTAACCCTTAATTAAAACTATTAAGATATCAGAAAAAAAAAATATGGCATAAATAAATAGATAAAACCTAGAGCACATGTTTTGATTAATAGGATTATAGGCATATGATTGCGATTATTAGTCCATGGTCTCCCAATCTCATATTCAATTGCAAATTTTATTAAGAAGATCTTTTTTTTTTCTTTTTTTTGAATCATACAAATATATTAACAGGATTACATATATGGCAGACGTTCAACCAGACAAAATTGACGAATTTTAATATTGAGATGAGCTGGGATCATAATTTCAAATATGTAAAAAAAAAAAAAAAAAAACAGACAAAATAAATTGTTATATCACTAATTCTATGCTAATTCATGGAATTATTAATATTTTCGCTATTAATTCTGTTAATCAAACAACGCAGAGAGAAATGAGAATACTTACCCGAGATATCGCAAGAGGTTGAAGCCAAGTCGGGTCATGAGATTGGTCTCCGACGCCGTTGTTAAACTGTAAACTTCACCTACTCTCCACCTACTCCTCACCTACTCCATCTACTACACACCTACTACACACTCACCTATTCTCTTCCCACATCCTCTCCTATATATAGGAATCATTGTAAACATATATAATCACAATCAATAATAACATTCAATACATCAATATATACATAATTATTCTCTCTGTATTTCTCTCTTTTTACATTAAATTTAACATGGTATCAGAGCCATAAGATTTAGGCCTGTATTTCTTTCTCACCGGCGGGCAGCCGGCCAGCAACTTTGCCTTTGCTGCCCGCTGGAATTTTCTACACATGCCTTCACTCTCTCTCTCTCTTTCTCTCTCTGCCAGAACCCTACATACAGAAGCTCCATTTCCTCTCTGCTGCTCGTCAAACATGGCGGCCACCGCTGGTAGCCCTGGCATCTCCATCCGAACACCACCCCCGCCACCGCCGAAACATTCGATTCGCCGCCGACGAACCCAGAAAGGGCTCCGACGTCCTCGTCGAAGCGCTCGAGCGCGGAGGCGTGACAGACGTCTTCGCCTATCCCGGCGGCGCGTCCATGGAGATCCACCAAGCCCTGCTGCGCTCTCAACTCATCCGCAACGTCCTCCCCCGCCACGAGCAAGGCGGCATCTTCGTCGCCGAGGGTTACGCACGCGCCTCCGGCCTCCCCGGCGTCTGCATCGCCCTCTCCGGCCCCGGCGCCACCCACCTAGTCAGCGGCCTCGCCGCCGCAATGCTCGACAGTGTCCCCGTCGTGGCCATCACTAGTCAAGTCCCCAGGCGCATGATCGGCATTGATGCATCACTCAACTTTCTTTTATTTTCATATATCTCTATGTATATGTTTATTATATTCTCTTACCCAACGCTCCCACTATGTCCACCTTTGCACAAACCCATACCTCTTGTTCTTTTTCTTCTGAAGCCACTGAGTCAATCTTCACCTTTTGCACCCCACCCACGTTGCTCCACTTTCCTTCTTTTATTTTATCTTTCTTTTTCCATTAAAAAAAAAAAAAATCATCCATTTTCTCTCTCGAAATTTCCTTATTTTAACCAGTTGTCCCCTTGTGGGCTTGTTCCCACCACACCATTATAATATATTATAATACGCAATATCAACTCACAGCTTCACACACCATCACTGTTTTTTCCAACCATTATTTTATTTTTTATCTTTTCTTTTTGAACATTACACCATCGCCCCCAACATCTTCCACTCAAACATATTCTCTCTTTTCTATATCTATTTTTTTATTCTTATTATTATTATTAAACAAAACACAACAAAAAAACACCAAAAACATTCCACATATCACAATCTTTTTTTTATTTCTGTTGGGATTAACCCCGATCACTATTTTACACCACAACCCAAAACAACCAAAACCAAAGCAAAAAAAAAAAACCACCTCCCTCACACAGGAGGGCTTTTTCTTTTCCCTTCTCTACTATGTCGCCGGTCTTTTCTTCTTGCCTCCGTCCTGGGCGGACCTTGATGGTGCTGTCTCTGTGTTTCCCACACCACCGAGCCCGTTCTCTCCCCCCTGCTCCTCCACTGCAGCATATGGCGGACCTCCAAATCGGAACATCACGGTGGCCTTCCGCTTCAGCTCCTTGTTTTCCGCTTTTAGCACACATATCTCTGCTCGCGCATCCTTATACATGCGCTGGAGCAGAGCCAGTTGGGCGTTTAACTGCTGCACCTCATTTGTCCTACTCTGAAGCCGGTGCGACAAGTTTGTGACTGCCGTCATGGTCTCCACACATGACTTCAATGTATACTGATTGGCCTCAATATCTGATTGCGCTGCCATTATTTGCTCCACAGACCGCATAGGAAAGGTCAACGGAGCAAACTCAGGAAATAAAGCTACACTTTTACTACTATAATATTGTTTTGGGTTGGTTTTTTTTTTTTTTTTTTTTTTTTTTTGTGTAAAATGGTGATCGGGGTGAGCCCCGACATGAATAAAAGGAAATGAGTTTGGTGTGCAGTTTGTCTTCTTCTTCTGCCTTTTTTTTTTTTTAATAAAATAAATAAAGAAATAAATAAAATAAAAGAAAAGAAAGAAAGTGGAGCAACGGGTGAGGTGCAATAGGTGATGATAATTGTGTGTGAGTGGAGAATAAAGAAATAATTGTGTGTGAGTGGAGAATAAAGAAAAGAAAAGAAAGGGGTTGTGCGGCTTCTTCTTCTTTTTTTTTTTTATTCTGAAAAAGCATGCTGTGTCCCCCACCATCCAAACACTGAGCTAAACTAATGGTTTTATGAGGCATTAGTTTAATATATAGATATATTAAAATAAAAAAAAAATGTGGGCAATAACGTGGGTGGTGTGTGGGTGATTATTAGAGAGAGAGAAGAAGGCCCCCCCTGTTTGGTTTTTTTTTTTTTTGTTTTTTTGTTTTTTTGTTTTTTTTTTATTCTTCCGCAAGAGAGAAAGAGCTGTGGAGAGCAGAGTGAAGAACAGATCTACGAAAACAATGGGGTGGTATGGCCTTCTTGATCTCGCCAACTGTGAATGGAGGTTTCGAGTAAGGAACTCGCCGGATATCCATGGGCAGTGTTATGACATGAAGGAACTTTTCAAAGTAGGAGAAATCAGAAGCCGAGTAACCGACACATCTTCCTCCGCCGATCTCAGTAACATCTTCTCCACTGCCATTGTCCCACATGGGTTTGACAGAGGAAGGATCTGCATTTTTTGATGAGAGAGAGAGAGAGAACGAGGATGAGTAGAAATAACAACAGCTAGCTGGGTCTGTTCTGTTAATAACTGTAATTTGTGGGTTAAATTACAAATACACCCTGAAATTTGTTTAAAATACGAATTATCTCCTATAGTTTGAAAAATTACGTATACTTCCTGTCAAAATTTTTTATTTAACCGAATTAATTAAAAAATTAAAATTTCCAACTGTTCACCTATATAATATTAAAATTATATGAATTATTAATTAAAATTAAATTTTAACATTATTAAAAATTGTTAATTAACTTGATGATTTATTAATAAAATGGCATATTTATTATGAAATCAAAAATATTAAGAGATAAAATGTAATTTCTAGAATTACATAGAATAATTTATAATTTAAATAAACTTTAAGGATATGTTTGTAATTTACTCTAATTTGTGAGCTTGGTTGGGTTAGTTGTGATAGATGACAAGGGGCAGAAATAGAGGAAGAGTGGAAAATTCAATTTTGAAATGTTTTTTTTTTTTTTTTTTTTTTTGGGTTACAGTGAAATATTTTTGAATGGGTTTAAATACATATACAGATAATGATTCTCTGTATTGGAACTCTTTGAAATTGTTTAATTCAATGGTCCATAAGTGTGTGTTTTTAACCTTATTTTATTTATTTTATTTCGGCTTGACCAGCTGACACGTGTTTTGTACTATAAAAAATAGAGTAAACTGCAAGTTTGGATTGAGTGGTTTGAAAAAATGAGATTGGGTCACTTTCGAAGAAAAAGAATAAATGATTTTTTTTAATTTTTTATACACAGTAAATCGCAAGTTTGGATTGAATCATTTGAAAAAATTAGATTGGGTCGCTTTTGAAGAAAAACAAGAAGAAATGAATTATTTTTTAAATTTTTTTTTATATACTTGTTTGAATAAGCAAAGGTGATGAAAATGAAACAAATTAAAATAGACAGAAACATATTTATATCATAATTTTCATTTTGAATCTCTTCGAAAGTAAAGAAATTAGAAAAGAAATAATACCAAAATCGTCTTTTTAGATATAGAAAAAATAAAAATTGAATCTTATAAAATGTTATTTTGATAATATGATATGAAACAATTTATTTTCTTTTCTTTTATATAGTTTAATCATACAAGATAACAGATAAATATATTTTTTTCCAATTTTTTCTCTCCTATTTAACCAAACCAAAAAAAGAAAATTCACAATTTTTTTTTTCGTCTCTATAATAACTTATGTATTTTTTTTTTCTGTCTCTCTTCTAATTTTCCAAACATAGATTACTGTAAGAAAAAATATAGTGAAAGTCTAGGTAACAGAAAAGTTCCCAAAAAATTAACATATATTTTGATTCATAGTGTGCATTTAAACTTTATATTGTAGAATCAAATCATGAGCCCCTCATTAATAGGGAAGAGTTTATCGGAAGAATGATAAATTAATAATAAGAAATAGGTTTTTTTTTTTTTTTTTTTCTTGGTGCCAAACAATATGATATTAGTGTGTTTAGTAAGTTAGATTACAACAAAAATGTCGCAATCGTTTTGTCGACTCAAACACTATCTCTAACTTTTTTACAATCTAAAAAATAAGGGTACTTACGTGTAAGTCTTAATAAAGTGACCTTATGTTTAATAGGCCTATAGGAAAAAATTTGTCATAAACCAGTTCCGACTAAATTGTAAGTTTTAGCGACAATTTATAAAATCATGATAAATTATAATAAGTCATCTATATGTCACTTTTAACGACATATATAAAAAATTATCATAAAAAAATTATTTTTACGTACAATTTTATAAAAAATTTTTTTTATAGGTACTGATGAGAATTTAGTCAAACTTATTAAGATTTATTAGTAATTTACTCAATAAATAAATAATCTCAATGATTACATGACCAACTATTCTCCTTCTTAAACTAATAGTTAAAGGACGAGATTTCATATAATCATCTTTATAAAAAGTTTACAGATATAAAATTTTATCAGAGAATCAACCAATCCTTTTAAATAAAATTATTTTTATTTTTTATAATCTCATAATTAGTGTGTGAGATTATATATTTGTTGTGATTAATTTCTCCATATTACCTTCTTGAATTGCGGGGTCTACGGGCCTAGGGAGAGAAACTGTAGAACGTTGATCTGGGTGCAGGACAAAGGATGTGTAGGACCGGGCAGGTGTGCCACATGGTTTGTTATGATAAGCTTTACAACTTTTCTTTTGAGACGTTTTGGATTCGTGCTTGCCTTCTTCCCTATTTTTATTATTATTATTTTTATTTAGGTAATTATAGCAAAAATATAAATAAATAGAAACAATTTTAAAAATAATTACATTATAACGGTAAAAAAATTATTTGTAAGTTTCAAACTAAAGTTTGACCACAAGAAAAACTTGTACCAAAATATTAAAAAAAGAAAAATTGTACTTTACACACGAAGGAGACTTAACCTGTTGGTTTGGGAAAGGGGAAGGTTGGGCTATTTAATCAAGTGGAAGGACAAAACAGCTTAATTAGTCAAGGAGGAAAAAAGT